AGAGAGAGGAGAGAGAGAGAGAGAGGAGGAGAGAGGAGAGAGAGAGGAGAGAGGAGGAGAGAGAGAGAGAGAGAGAGAGAGAGGAGAGGACGGAGAGAGAGAGAGAGAGAGAGAGAGAGAGGAGAGAGAGAGGAGAAGAGAGAGAGAGAGAGAGAGAGAGAGAAGAGAGGAGGAGAGAGGGAGAGGAGAGAGAGAGGAGGAGAGAGGAAGAGAGGAGAGAGAGAGGGAAGAGAGGGAGAGAGAGGAGAGAGAGAGAAGAGAGAGAGAGAGAGAGAGAGAGAGAGAGGAGAGAGGGAGAGCAATTGGAGAAGAGTGAAGGAGAGATACGAGACAAAACATCAGAAAAACCTCATTTCAGAGCTGATCTCGTCTGAGTCTTTTGTGCAGATTCTAAATGATGTTTTTTGTTTTTTTTTACTTGAGCTCGTCTCTTCGTCTCTTCGTCTCTTCGTCTCTTCGTCTCTTCGTCTCTTCGTCTCTTTGTCTCTTCGTCTCTTGTCTCTTCATCTCTTCGTCTCTTCGTCTCTTCGTCTCTTCGTCTCTTCATCTCTTCGTCTCTTCGTCTCTTCGTCTCTTCGTTTCTTGTGTTTTTGGTTTTTTTTTTCTCGCAGGTGAAGCTGAATCAAAGAAACAGATAAAACCTCCAGTGCTTTTTGAGAGTCTGAACATCAGGACAAAAAAGATTTAAAACCACCTTGAAAACTTAAGAAAGAAAAAACACAAAATGGATTTAAAGTTCACATTTTCAGGAGTGTGTGATCAGAGCTTCATGGTTCTGTTCAAATCTTCTTCTTGGTTCTCACTTTTTTTCCCACTGACAATATTTCAAAACTTTTCCATGACTTTTTCCATGACCTAAAGAGAATTTTCCATGACTTTACGGCACCTATATGTGTAGAATTGATCAGACTTTTGGGGTTAAATCTGAAATGTTTAACTCTTTCCTCTCACTTTATGGTTTGGGATTATAGTTTTTGAACATTTTAAATCCTGTCAGTGATTTTATTATCGTCTCTTTTAAACAAAAGGCTCAGAAGTTCACAAATAATCAGAACAGCCTCCTGAGAAAGCTGCAGTTGTGTGAAAGAGATACTACATTTTATGACTTTTCCAAAACTTTCATTTTTTTTCAGGCCTGGAAAGTGACATTTTCAATCTCCAAGACTTTTCCAGAATTTCCATGACCGTAATAAATATATTTAATTTTAAAATCCAACTTCTCACCTCCTTCTTCTTGTTGCGGCCTTGACACAGAGTCTTAACACGATAAAAATAAACCTTTGTATTCCCACACATATATATGTATATGTACACATATATATATGTATATGTACACATATATATGTATATGTACACATATATATGTATATGTACACATATATATGTATATGTACACATATATATATATATGTACACATATATATGTATATGTACACATATATATATATATATATATATATGTATATGTACACATATATATGTATATGTACACATATATATGTATATGTACACATATATATGTATATAAATGCCACCACAGTTCCTCCGGACGCTGACATGTCCCAGTTTACACCAAACACGACCAAACTGTCCTGGTTACAGACGTCACAGCCAATGAAATGTTCCACATTACAGTTTAATGCAGCTTCCAGCATCAATTAATGTTTGTGTTTACAGGCAACACCTTGGTATGTTTACAGTATTTACCGGTAAGTTTAACGTCACCGTGACGTGACGTGGATGGATTTACTAATTATAACATTATAACTCATGTACATTATAACTCATGTATAACCCATTATAACTCATGTATAACCCATTATAACTCATGTATAACCCATTATAACTCATGTATAACCCATTATAACTCATGTATAACCCATTATAACTCATGAAAAACCCATTGTCTGAAATGCAGCTGAAGTGAAGACTGACTGATGCTCGCTGTGGCTGTAGTCGTGAATGTTTTAATCTAAACACACAGAGAACCTGATATTTGTTAATTAGCCCTGGGATAACGTTACGTCTGATGTTTCCAACTGGCTCCACTATGTTTTCTAACATATAGGTGCAATTTCCCGTTCAAAGGAAGTGTTTCTACACAATATTATACAGCAGCGTTCGGTTCCCGAATTCAAGACATTTTTACAATAGATTTTAATTAACCCACTTGTTGTTCTGTTGTAGCTTCTTGTGCTTTTACTCTGTTTTTACTCTGATACAAACTTGAGCTGCACAGTCTTGATCTTGATCGATGTTTCTTCTGCTCGATGAATAATGTCTGTGAAGTGATGATGTATTTTTGACAGTAAAGTTCCGTCTGTGAATTCGTATTCGTACTGATGAAAGCGTAATCGTAAATTTTCATTTCGTGATTGTAATTCATGACGTCGTAATTTTTCAATTCGTATTCTGATGGATAAAATACACACAATATATTTTATGTACGACTGGACTCATTTGAGAGTTTACAAATATTTATTTTATGTGCAACTACAGCCAAATATGCACAGATTTCTATTTTATGCGCACGAATATTTTTGATTTTTGACAGCTTTCTTACTCCATACCCAGACTCTGGTCGAGGAGCCGAGCTGAATGAGGGTGAGAGACCAACCACCGAGGAAGGTGAGAAACACATTATTATTTTTTTCATATTATACTTCAATTATCTTTAATGTGAAAGTAATGAAAATGAAAGTGTATTATTCACACTGTAACATACATACTTTGTTTACTGCAGTGTCACTTGTGTTAAACTGTTTAACTGTGTAAAGCTGGACGCACACTGTGCCACTTTTGACCCTTTTTTGAGCTGATTTTTCACTCGTGCTTCTGTTTTGGTATTGGGTCGAGTTTTGTCTTAAGTCAGATGTCCACTGTGTGATTTTTGATTGTTTTTGAGCCGATTTTTCACTCGTGCGACTGTTTTGGGGATCGAGTTTTTGGCTTCATCGTGTCGTGCTTCGTGTCGTAAACATGGGGTAAAGAAAACCGACTAATACGTCACGACTCCTGATCGGCCGTCGTAGGTCAGAGAGTCTCAAACCCGTCTGAATCCAGTCGCCTCTCGTGAAACTTTTGTTGAAGTTCGTTCAGTGTGAGAACATGAATCGTGAGCCGTGAACTTTTAAACCCTGTGATGTGTTGGTGCAGTTTGAGCCGGGGCCGAGTGAAACCATCGAAAACATCGTGCGGTGATCGTCCGGTTTAAGTGTCGCCGCACGATCCTGATCAGCACTAAACAGGAAACCCAAAGCTCTTCCAGATCATTTCAAACAAACCCCACGATGACTCAAGCTTGGTGAGGTTTTTTTGTTTCATATAATGGATTAAGTCTGGACAAAATCAAGCAAATAAAAACACCGATCATGTCCGATTCTGCCTTTTGTCTTTGCACGAAAACTTAGTTTTGGCTCATGATACAAAGGCAGAGAACAGGAACTGATCAATACGAATCAAAGGTCAATTTTAAGCTCAATATTTTTTCACATACAAATATTTTTTTGATTAAAGCAACTAGTGTCAAATTTGTGGAAAAATTTTGAACAAAACAGAAACTTTAAAGTCATTTTTCTCAGTTTCATCAAGTTAAACTCTTTTACCTTTGTTGTTGTTTGTGATTTTATGTGTTTTTTTTAATTTTCGTTGATATAAAGACAGATTTATAACAGACAGTGTTGGGGAGTAACAGATTACATGTACCAGAGTAATCAGAGTACAAATGATGAGTAACTGTATTCAGTTACAGTTACTGTTTCAGTGAGTGGTAATTGGATTACAGTTACTTTGTTGAAATAAATGGATTACACAGAGGGATTTTACTGTTTTCACATTTTGGGCTAAATCCCCCCCTTTTTTATTTTTTTTTTTGGTATTTCCACTCATTGCCGGACACTAAAACCAGGTCTAAAACCAGGTCTAACCAGGTCTAAACAGTTCTAAACTAGATCTAAAACCAGGTCTCCAAACTAGATCTAAACCAGGTCTAAAACCAGGACTAAACCAGGACTAAACCAGGTCCAAACCAGGTCTAAACCAGGACTAAACCAGGTCTAAACCAGGTCTAAACCAGTTCCAAACTAGATCTAAAACCAGGTCCACAAACTAGATCTAAACCAGGTCTAAACAGGACTAAACCAGGACTAAACCAGGCTCCAAACCAGGTCTAAACCAGGACTAAACCAGGTCCAAACCAGGTCTAAACCAGTCCAAACTAGATCTAAACCAGGTCTAAACTAGATCTAAACCAGGTCAAACCAGATCTAAACCAGGTCCAAACTAGATCTAAAACCAGGTCTAAACCAGGTCTAAAACCAGGACTAAACTAGGATCTAAACCAGGTCTAAACCAGATCTAAACCAGGTCTAAACAGGACTAAAACAGGATTTAACAGGACTAAATCCTGCTGTGTGGACGTGTTTCTTCTTCTATCAATAATATTTTTAATTTGGTTCAGTAAAGTCTGGACTTTTTTTTTTTTTTTATCAGACAAAACATCTTATGTTACGATTTCCTCGTCTTTGTTTCTCTACAGCAAATCAAGTAATCCAAAGTATTCAGATTACATTACTCACTTGAAGTAATTAAATGGATTCAGTTACAAACTACATTTTGGTGTATGTAATCTGTAATCTGTAGGGGATTACATTTTAAAAGTGCGACGTGAAGATACCAGACGCCTGTTCAGTCTGTTGTTGTTTATTCTGTTGTTTTTAATAGAATTTGCCTTTGGAGATGAAATGTCGGTTCCTGGTCCCTGATTTTATAAAATAAATTTCCCCCCAAAAGTGCGACTTATGTTTTTTTCTTCTTCATTATTCATTTTTTGGCTGGTGTGATTTATATTCCAGAGCGACTTATACTTAGAAATATTTGGTACATGTTTTTGTTTGTGGTTTTGTGTGTGTTTTTTTTTATTTCTTGTGCTCAAAGTCAAGACAGATTTGCAACAGGATGTTTTTTTTTTTCTTCAAATCCCGTCAAAAACACTGGACTCGTTTACCTAAGACGGACTTTAATTAAAATTCAGAGTTACACGTTTATCACGCTAAAGAAGGCTTCGTTTTAAACAATAGACTTTGGAATCTAGTTTGGATTTAAACAGCAACAAATAACGATTAAAATCCAGTGCAGTTTTACAAAATACAGAATAATATAAAAGGAAACACGTAAAAAAATACTCTGCGTGTGCGTTGGAGTCATACACAGGGGAGCGAGGGGCCTGTGGTGCTCGAGGTATCTGTGTCTCCGTCGGTTTGCCTCGGGGCGGGCGTGGCTTCGGACGGCGGCGGCGCGGGTTTGGCGGGGCGGTCCGAGACTCCGCCCCCCTCCTCCTCCTCCTCCTCGGACGCGGTTCTCGTCGGGGGTGCGGCGCTCTCCACGTAGAAGAGGATGTAGGCCTTGGCTTTGGCGACGGCGTCCTCGCTGGTCAGGCTCACGGTGCTGTCGTTGAAGTGGTACCAGCGTCCTTCGTGGTGGCCGTACGCCGTGTAGTGGCCCGAGCCGACCCTGGACACACGCGAGGGGACAGAGCGGTGTGACGGCGACATCTAGTGGTGACACAATGAATCACAGTCTCCAAAAAAAGAGCTGCAACCCTTCAGACCGAAAGGAAATTTTAGTACTTTTGTCCTCACCTGGATTTTTTTTCTTAATTTTGCGTTTAAAACTCTCCCCATTTTACCTCCTAATGAAGAGTTATACATCAGTTTTTTCACTACAACCTGTTATTTGCAGAGTCAATCAGAGTACAAATGATGAGTAACAGTATTCAGTTACAGTTACTGTTTCAGTGAGTGGTAATTGGATTACAGTTACTTGTACCCCCCCCCTTTTTTTTTTTTTTTTTTTTTCCTTTTTGGTAAGTATTGCCGGACTAAACCAGGTCTAAACCAGGACTAAACCAGGACTAAAACCAGGACTAAACCAGGACTAAACCAGGACTAAACCAGGACTAAAACCAGGTCTAAACCAGGACTAAAACCAGGACTACTAAACAGGACTAAAACCAGGACTAAAACCAGGACTAAACCAGGACTAAACCAGGACTACTAAACCAGGACTAAACCAGGACTAAAACCAGGACTAAACCAGGACTAAACCAGGACTAAAACAGGACTAAAACAGGACTAAACCAGGACTAAACCAGGACTAAAACAGGACTAAACAGGACTTTAAAACAGGACTAAATCCTGCTGTGTGGACGTGTTTCTTCTTCTATCAATAATATTTTTAATTTGGTTCAGTAAAAGTCTGGACTTTTTATTTTCTTTTAACAGACAAAACATCTTATGTGAAGATTTCCTCGTCTTTGTTTCTCTACAGCAAATCAAGTAATCCAAAGTATTCAGATTACATTACTCACTTTAAGTAATTTAATGGATTCTGTTACAAACTACATTTTGGTGTATGTAATCTGTAATCTGTAGGGGATTACATTTTAAAAGTCACCTTCCCAACACTGGTTATTTGACGATCTGCTGCTGTAGTTGTGTCATGTGGCTGTAATAAAAACTACGGGACCAGAAAAAAACTGAAAATAAAATCCACACACACAGAGACAAACTGAACAAAACTAATGTTATGATCATGAATAAAACAGAAGGAACTTGTTCACTCAGACTGTAGCACTTGAACTACACAAATCTACATCATGAAATCAGTTTTTAATTTCTTGGTGAACAAGTTAAGTGAACTTATTAACGAATTACTTATTAATTCATTACTTATTACTTCTGTTTTTTTCATGACTGTAACATTAGTTTTGTTCAGTGTGTCTCTAATGCGTCGTCGTTGTTTCCTTTAAGTTTTGTCTTTTTCTTCTCTTGATAGTTGTGGATAAATTGTTCATGTTAGAATGTTTATCCTTTGTGGAGTTTGTTGGTTGAAGATTTGGTGATGGGGCAGATTTATTTGACACACACACATTTACACACACATTTACACACACACATTTACACACACACACATTTACACACACACACACATTTACACACACACACACACATTTACACACACACATTTACACACACATTTACACACACACACACACATTTACACACACACACACATTTACACACACACACACACATTTACACACACACACACACACACACACACATTTACACACACACATTTACACACACACATTTACACACACACACACATTTACACACACATTTACACACACACATTTACACACACACACACATTTACACACACACATTTACACACACACATTTACACACACACACACACACATTTACACACACACACATTTACACACACACACACACACACACATTTACACACACACATTTACACACACACACACATTTACACACACACACACACATTTACACACACACACACACACACACATTTACACACACATTTACACACACATTTACACACACACACACACACATTTACACACACATTTACACACACACACACATTTACACACACATTTACACACACACACACACATTTACACACACACACACACACATTTACACACACACACACACACACATTTACACACACACACACACATTTACACACACACATTTACACACACACATTTACACACACACACATTTACACACACATTTACACACACACACACATTTACACACACATTTACACACACACACACACATTTACACACACACACACACATTTACACACACATTACACACACATTTACACACACATTTACACACACACATTTACACACACACACACACACACATTTACACACACACACACACACACATTTACACACACACACACACACACACATTTACACACACACATTACACACACATTTACACACACACATTTACACACACACATTTACACACACATTTACACACACACACACACACATTTACACACACACACACACATTTCACACACACACACACACACATTTACACACACATTTACACACACACACACATTTACACACACACACACACACATTTACACACACACACACACACACATTTACACACACACATTTACACACACACACATTTACACACACACACACATTTACACACACACACACACACATTTACACACACACACACACACATTTACACACACACACACACATTTACACACACATTTACACACACACACATTTACACACACACACACACATTTACACACACATTTACACACACACATTTACACACACATTTACACACACACACACACATTTACACACACACATTTACACACACACACACACACATTTACACACACACACACATTTACACACACACACACATTTACACACACACACACACACACATTTACACACACATTTACACACACACACACACACACATTTACACACACACACACACACATTTACACACACACATTTACACACACACACACACACACACACATTTACACACATTGACACATTTTGACACAGAAAAACACTAACCGGACGTTACGTTCACCTTACATCATGACTGTTTCGGCTGTTGTGAAAAAGGTTCACTTCATGCATATCATATCATGAACATCTCCATGGGGACCAGCAGGTGGTGGACCCTCCAGCTCCATGTTAATCATAGTTTATTAAGATAACAGACGTCACTCACCCGGACCCGTGATGCACGGCGATCGCAGCCAGATCATACAGACAGCTGTCGGGAGCTGCAGCTTCAGGCTAAAAAAACACAAACACGAGTTAAATGTTCAGATCTTTTATTTTCACACAGTTGTGCTCAGCTCTCACCTCCAGCAGGAAGCTCCTCATGTCCAGACTCTTCATGGGGAACTTCACATAAGTGTCCACTTTATTCCTCATGAAGGTCGTCCAGTGGAACCTCTTCAGGTGCAAACACAAAACCTACGACACACGAGTGCGTTCAGAACTTTGCGAGATCAGAACCATCATCACAGCTGGAGAGAAATGTACTTTTGGCAGCTTCTTTATCCAGAACTTCTTTGTGGATTTCTGTCGTTTTTTACACTTGAGGCAGTAGTACAGTTCAGTCTCATCGAGCTCCTCTAAATCAGTGAAGCTCTGTAAACAGTCTGAAAAACACACCACACATGAGCCTCATTACACAAATCTTATGGATTACCGTATTTTTCAAACTATAAGGGGCACTTTTTTTTCATGGTTTGGGTGTTTCCTGTGACTTACCGTATTTTCCAGGCTATTAGTCGCTCTGGATTATAAGACCACTGTCATTAAATGGGTCTATTTTCGAACTTTTTTCACAAATAAACCGCGTGGGACTTTAAAGGAAACCCAACAGTGTGATGGGTGAGTGGTTTTGTTTGTTTGTTCGTTCACGGTGACTCTGGGCTTTGTTCAGTTGTGGCGTGTAGGGAGGGTGTGTCTGGGACCAACGGATTGTCGGCGTGTTCGCAGTGACTCAGTTGTTCAGTCGTGTCTAGAAGTGGCACGTTGCGCTCGCTTTTTCGGTTCATTCCTCCGTTCCGTTCCTCGTCGGCGTGGAGTGATGAGTGTGTCTGTGGGTGTGTTTCCCTGTGCGGTCGCTGTCTGCTCCGTGTGTGTTTGTGTGTTCTGTGGGTGGTGCGGCTTTGTAGTTTACTGAAGTCGAGCTGGGGACACCCGAGTGGATTCGTGTATGGGGCGCTATGGATTGTGGCGCGCAGTCGTTTTTTGATGCGGTTAGAGGCTTAAGAGCGCGACTAATCGCCCGGAAAATACAGTATATTCCAGTGTGACTATTAAAATGTTTTAGACTGACAGCCACGAGAGGTTCTAGTCTCCTGTTCCTCCTGCACCACTGTCACTTGGCTCTACTGCGCATGTCTCCTGCAGAAAGAGCCTCTGTCCTGTCTGTATCGTGTCAGTCGATCGCACCGTTACTAAAAATCTAAAATTAAATTAAACTTATAAAGACAAAGACTGAGAAGAGACTGAACACAAATGCCCCCAAAAACAAAATCAGATTCTGCAGATTATAAACTGACCCACTGTTTGTGTCTCGCTCCTTCTGATGCAGAGACACATGTACACACCTGTTTGGTCACGATACACACAGCAACCTACACTCGGTTTGTCGATTAAAATTAATGTAATCGATGAAATTCTTAATGATCGATTATCGATTAATCGACTAATCATGCCCATCCCTAGTTTATATGTCGTAAAGTTGAATTTATTTATGCAGATTAGTGCAGATAGTAATAATAATGATGATCATTTTAATATAAAAACATGATTAATCGATAATTGATCGTTAATTCTCCCGGCGATCGATTAAGAAAATTTAATCGAATGCCCATCCCTATTCCGGAGCGACTTATAGTCTGAAAAATAGGGTAATTATTATTTCAGTATGAACATGATGGTAACAGACCGTGCAGAGTGCAGGGGGGCCCGGGCTCCTGCTCTTTACTCTTCTTCTGCCTGAACTGACGAGGAATGTCCAGAGACAAATCTGAACCAAACACAAACACGGTAAAAGCAGACCATCTAACAGTAGAAACGGTTATGAAAAATAAAACATTAAATGAATTATTTTCTTACCAAGAAACGGGTCAAACTTGCGTGATTCCGTCCCACAGATTAAACAGTTCACTTCATTCTGCAGAACGCCCCCAAATAAACTGGTGACAACACTGCTGTTTCCATTTCTGAAAACACAACACAAACTGAATGTATTTATCAATTTTTAAAAGGATAATGTTCCATAAACGAGCTTTAATCTGAGTCTCACAGGCAGCTTTTGTCTCGTGTGGGCCCGGCCTGCTCCTCACACACGTGCGCGTCTCCGTTCTGAGCGTCCTGCAGCTCCCTGTGCAGGTGATCCAGCAGGTACCTCATAAACTCATGAGCGTCCTGCTGCTGATAGCCCCTACACACACACAAACACACACACACACAAACACACACACAAACACACACACAAACAAACACACAAAACACACAAACAAATACAAAACAAACACACACATATTATTCACACTGGACTTATGGCTGAAAATAACATTATCAATTGTTTTTCCAAAAATTTTATTCTCGATTTATCCCTGTGATCTGTTATGCATAAAAAGTTGATTCAAAACGTTTATAATGAGAGCAAATAAGTGCAAGGTTACAAATGAAGACAGATCTAGTACGTATATTATTGTACGATTGCATCTCCACTGTAACTTTATTGTCATTTTACTTTTATTGTATTTTTACTGCTGTTTCATAACTATGTGACTTGCACCAAAAATTATTTAATAAATATAAGTTTTTAAAAAATTTATAATTCACTTGTTTTTGAGTTTAAGTTTCTCTTGTGTATGGTGTCATCTAGTGGACACTTTTGGAATTGCAGGCAGAGCACAAGTTCTGAATTGAACTTTTAATAGTCAACAGTTGTAAGTTTCTGTTTGAGTCAGTAAATTAGTTTATTTTAAGGTTGTATCACTGGTGTGTATTTTGTATCCATGATCAACATCTTAAGTCACAATTATTTGTAAGTTCAGCATTGTGATGTTTGTAATATTAGAATTGTAACATGGTAATTACATGTGAACCACGCAGCTCTCAGAATGGTGTCAGAAAACTTTCACTGTGTGGATTTACAACCTTGTACTTACAATTGTTTACTGTATATTTTTAGGGTTAATTGTTACAGGCATATTGTAATTTTATATTTGTCTAATCTAGTTTCACCTTTTCAAGCATCATTAAGGCCCCGTTACAGGTGCACAGGTTTTTTTTTTTTTTTTTAAACTGAGACATTTGCTCCGTTTTTTAAAAAACGCTGGCCTGGGAACTCCTCGGGGTCCACCCAGAGGAGCTGGAGGACGTGTCTGGGGTGAAGGAAGACCCCAGATAAGCGGAAGAAAATGGATGGATGGACATTTCCCTTCGTTTGCCCCATCTGTCACACCTCTGAACACAAATCTTTATAAAATCTCCAGCTCAAATTGAGATTCTGGAAAACTACAGTTTGGTGTTTGTGTGTAAAGTGAGAAAAACTGAGTTTTAGGAGCTGATGAGAAAAAAGTGTTTCCCTTTTGCTCTGATGATGATGATGATGATGATTGAGCATCAGAGCATCAGTCACATTTCTTCTGCTGAAACACTTTTCATGTGTTTCATTTGTACAAACAGCTGATGTTTCATATCCATGACCAGAGACCAATGAGCCCTAAACAGATCTGTGGAGAGGCGAGCCGCTCACTAATGCACATTTTTCAAGGTATTTGTGAGTAAAACTTACAAATGTAATGAAATAAAAGCTACAGGCAACAGCGCTCGATGGTGTATTTATGTGGATTGATGTAAACGAAAACTTTTTTGAAAACGATGCTGTGAGCACAATGTTCTTTTGAAACACGGAGGGAGGGAAATATTTGTTTCTCAACAAACCCGGCTCTGTGTAAACGCAGCCTAAACCTGCTTAAAGACGACAGAGTCTGCAGAGTCACTGATGTGAGAGAAGAGTTTATCACAAACCCCGTCTCCACTGAAAATGTTCTACAAACTACAGAAAACTATCAAAACTGAAAAGATTGTATTCAGTGATCATATTTAACCCACTGGCCATAGGTGAAATCTTTTATAAATGAAATCGATTTGAACTTCAAATTGAATTAATTAAATTGATTTTTTGCCCTAACTGGACTTGGCCCATGAGCCTGTCTCACTCTCGTTAAATGAAGATCAGTGTCACCTGAAGCTGGGCATGAGCTTCCAGACGGTGTAGAAGAGCGAGTCGGGGCTGTAGGCGCTCTGGTTCCCCTGCCACAGCGAGCACAGGGTTTTTCTCACCTCCTCCACTAAAGATCTGGAATAAAAGAGTTTATCTTTTAGTTTATCGAGCCATGAGTCGTTAAACTGTGTCTGTAACGATCAGAGCAGAGGGAGACTTACACGCTGGTGTCCCCCTGGCTCCGGGTGTGGTACATCCTTCCTGCTGTTTTACTGATCTGAGCGGCGGCCGGGAGAGACTTAAAGAAACCACTGAACTGCTCGATGTTACTGCGGGACAAACACACACGCAGAAACAGACATGTGACATTTACAATATGTGACTTTTACAATATGTGACATTTACAAGGCTCAGAAGGATTAAAGTCTTTCTGATACTTTGCAGCTGATGTGATAAACATTCTCTGGGGGAGTGAAGCTAAATGAAAGCACTGCTCTGTCTGAATCTCTTTTACTCTGGTTTTATCACTTTTGCTGAGAACACTGACTCACTCAAACATATTTAACATCATTACATTTTAGTACAAATCTTATCTTGTTTTTTTTCTTTTTTTAATTTGGTGAATTTTAAAATGTTAGTCCCTGGTTGGACACGGGTGGCAGACGTGAGACACAGACAGGTAAAAGTGTTTGGGGCGTTTATCTGAGCCCAGTGCCCAGGTGAGTTCCTCTGGACGTCCCTCTGCAGAGGCTCAGAACCTGGACCACAAAGAAACCAGGACTCCACAGGAGAGAGACCAACTACACCAGACCAGACCAGACCAGAGCAGGAACCAGGGCTAGGTCTGGACCAGGTCAGTCTGGGGTTAGACACAGTTTAGTCCTGGGGTTAGACCTGGTTTAGTCTTGGGTTAGACCACTTTTAATCCTGGATCAGATCTGGTTTAGTCCTGGGTTAGACCTGGTTTAGTCCTGGGTCAGACCAGGTTTAGTCCGGGTTAGACACGGTTTAGTCCTGGGTTAGACACGGTTTAGTCCTGGGTCAGACCAGGTTTAGTCCTGGGTCAGACCAGGTTTATTCCCGGTTAGACCAGGTTTAGTCCTGGGTCAGACCTGGTTTAGTCCTGGGTCAGACCCTGTCTAGTCCCGGTTAGACCTGGTTTAGTCCTGGGTCAGACCTGGTTTAGTCCTGGGTCAGACCTGGTTTAGTCCTGGTTCAGACCTGGTTTAGTCCTGGGTCAGACCTGGTTTAGTCCTGGGTTAGACCTGGTTTAGTCCTGGGTTAGACCTGGTTTAGTCCTGGGTCAGACCTGGTTTAGTCCTGGGTCAGACCTGGTTTAGTCCTGGGTTAGACCCTGTCTAGTCCCGGTTAGACCTGGTTAATCCCGGTTAGACCAGGTTTAGTCCTGGGTTAGACCTGGTTTAGTCCTGGGTCAGACCTGGTTTAGTCCTGGGTTAGACCTGGTTTAGTCCTGGGTTAGACCTGGTTTAGTCCTGGGTCAGACCTGGTTTAGTCCTGGGTTAGACCCTGTCTAGTCCCGGTTAGACCTGGTTTAGTCCTGAGTTAGACCAGGTTTAGTCACTTTGAAATCTATAAAAGTCACTTTCTCTAAACTTATCCATAAAATACGTCCGCTCCTCATTATTTCTAAAACTGTGCGCCGCAGCGTCACGATCTTTCCATTGCTCGTGTTTCGTGTTGTGTTTTTTCCGGAAGCTACCATCGTCACTACTTCGATTAACTTTGGAAAAAATCGGCGAAAACATATCCTTGAATCCTATTGGTCAGTCTAGTGTGGGTTGTAGTGGCCCTGACCTATCGCAGTCTCTGTTTAAATGTGAAAAACCTGAGCCGTTTCTAAAGGTCGTCAAATCCCGTCTTTAGTGAAACAGCGGAGGAGTCAAAACACGTCGTTAAGGAAACAGGGGGGTCGTCAAATGTCGTCTTCATGGGGGAAAGAGTTAAAGTCGTCTGAGCGTCTGAGACTCACTGACCTGCGCTCTTACCTGAGAGACTGAAGAACCGCGTTCATGAAGCAAGTGTTCCCGAGATTCCTCAAACCTGTGGCGGCCAGAGCGCTTCCGTCCTGAACAAACGAGAAACACGAGACACTGAACAAACCAAACCACACCAGCTGTTAAACGAGTGAATGATGAATCTCTACAACAATATGAAGCTTTTTCCCGTGGATTTTAAGTTTAAATGTCCCATATTATTCAATTTTCTGATCTGTTCTAATGTCGTTTCCTCATCACAAACAGACCTGGAGTTGTGTTTTGTTTCATTCACACGTTTAACACACAAACCCGCACATTTAGACTGAGTTTCGGCTCGATATATCGTATTGTTTAATGTGATGATACAGTATTGATATCGTGGGTTGCTGTACTGATATATCGGCAAGGGTACTTTTTTTTTGTATATTTTACTAAATTATTTTGTTACAGCTACAGTTTTGTTCTTTGTTCAGAGGAAGGAAAATCTTATGTGACACATTTGACATTTTCGCTGTTCTGTTGATAAAAATGTTTGTGTTTCATATGAACTTTGCACAAGAAGAAGTGGTTTAACAAAGATTTTTAGTATCACAGACATGATTTAGCCTTTATTTTTTATTTATTGAACCATATCGAATCGATTTGAGTGATAGAATTATATCGAATCGAAAGCTCACTGTATTAAAGGGACAGTTCAGAATTTTGGACATAGAGCTTCATTTCCTCGTGATCCAGAGTCCTTGTATTTGCAGAGGGTCACAGGTCTTACCCACTCCACAAAAACACTCGAACAAAATCTATTATTACACCAGACTGTCCATGTGATAGAAATAATGTTTGAAATAAAACTAACCTTGCATTTGAAGGATTTATGTCTGAGCAGCAGCAGTGAGTTGTTCTTTCTGATAAAAGCAGCGGCGGACTGATATATGAGAAAATAGTCCCTCAACGTGCGACGATTCATGCGATACAAGATTAGTTTTATTTCAAACATTATTCTACATCGACAGTCACAGACATTACAAGGACATTTAAAAAAGCGACACTCTGGATCACGAGGAAATGAGGCCCTATGTCCAAAATTCCAAACTGTCCTTTTAAGATCCGTATCGTGGCCTGTGTTCAACCTTGTGATGCTCCACTGTGTAAAACGATAAAACTACAGCTTCATGACATCACCAGGTGGAACAGAGCATTCTGAGCTTTGGAGATGTAGACAGACTAATAATAAAGAGTTACTCAAACATGTGAATGAAACAAAACACAACTCCAGGTCTGTTTTCGAGGAGGGAACAGTATTCTGAAATGGCTTAACGCTCACAAGAGTCAGATTTGTGTAATATAAGACCTTTAAAGGTTGTATGGAGGATTTTTTTTGTTTCAAATTGTCAATGATAGATTATAGATGCAGTAGCCTTGTAATTATGATGACCAAAAAAAAGAGAATAAAAATTCATCAACTCTGGACGTGGTGGGGCTAAACATTTGCCAATAGATAACGACACTGCCTCGTTATCTGTGAGCTGACAGGCTGTCAATCAAACTCCCTACGTTTCTAGTGTAACTGACTTGCCTGCGCCGCCGGTACGTGGTTTACGTACGACTGTCACGCAGTCCACAGACGCAAGACGCACAGACGCTGTTTACTCCACCAACGCAACAGTTCTTAGCGGCTTTTTTTGACCTATATCTTCCTCGCAGTTCGCACAAAGTTTGTTGCAATGGCGACAAGAATCCAGGAGCAGTTCGCCGCAAAAGAAAGTCCGTTTTTGAGGTCGCTGAAAGAAGAAGACAAGGGGAAAAGCAGCGAAGCCAAACTAAGGTGATTCTTGAAGATTCATTCCAGCGATGGCGCGACTGAAGCAGACGAAGGGTCTAAAGACTGAACGCACTGGTCCACAAATTACTCCTGGACAGGAAACTTCTGCTTATTATGAAAACGTACTTTATTTCCAAAGAGCTAGACAAACGTTTTTCAGGACACGAAAGCGATATCCTATGTCTGAAAACGTAATTTTCAAGGCAAAGAAAGAGTCCGCTTGCTGCTGCGTGTTGTAGTTAGTTCATTCGCACTGAATCTCCGCGCACCTTCTCTGCACCCCTTTCCTGCTCCTGTCCCCGCTGCCCGATCCGCTCTTCCCCTGCTCCTCACTTCCCGAATCTCCGCGCCCGACTCCCTCTCCTCTCTCCTCTCTCCTCTCTCCCTGCTCCGCTCTTCTCCCTGCTCCTCACTTCTCTCCGCTCTCCGCACACCCGCTCCCCCTGCTCCTCACTTCTCCGTCTTGCCTAACCAACACTGTAGTTAGTTGTTTACAAGTCATGTGCAGCACCGGCTGTAAACAAACCTGTTTCTGGCGTAAGGAGGAGGAGGGAGGAGGTGTTTCTACGTAGGAGCTGTAGGGGAGGGGGGGTGGTTTCACACATGCGCAACATTTGAAAAAGGACAAACAGTCGCTGGATTTCTCGTTCCTTGGAAAATCCTCTATACAACCTTTAATGTAAATTCAAAGCATCTTAATTATTATAATATTTTTTTCTTTTTTTTTATTTGCAATTTATTCAGTGCTTTTTTTTTTTGTCCACATAAGTCACAGTCTACATGCCCTACCCCCCCAACATAAAATCAATATAAATGTAGAAAGCAGATAAAAAAAATAAAAAAAAATAAAAAAATAAAATAAATATATATAAAAAAAATTAAATTAACTAAATAACTAAATAATAATACAATAAATAACATAACAGCAATGATGATGATGATACTTAATAATGAAAAGGATTATATATGGAATATTATAATAATTGATCTTTTAAATAAACATTAACAGATCACTTACATTTGGTTTAAGTATTTTGTTGTCTGGACCAGAACTTTCTTGAAGTTTACGTTTTCTCTCGCCATCCCAGACGCCTCCTGGACTGAAACAACATTCAGCATCATGTATTATTTTATTATTATTATTACATTATTATAACATTATTCTTTACCACAAAATGTACAGTATTGTCTCGTAAAGTCAAACTTACTTTTCTAAATTCTGCAGATGTTCTCTGAGCTTCTGCACTTGTCCAAGAGCCGTGTCATTTACAACAAACTCATCACATCTGTAACTAGAATGAAAACAGTTCACTTACATAAACTCGATCACTTTCAGCTACTGATACTTTGCAGTGACGTCGCGCTGGGGGTGTTCCACGTGTAAGTCTATGGGGGATTGTTCAGGAGTTACCACGGTGACTCGGGATTGTATCGTCAAAGTTCTCACAATAACATCGTGGACCATCACAATATATCGAATTACAAGTGTCTTTGCTTAAATGAAGAGTTACGGTGCAGCAAAACACAGAGGGAACTACATAGACCATGATCCTTTGCTCCATTTCAGCGCAGACGACAAGAAGAAATAACAGTTCTAACACTTTTAAGTCTTAGTTCTTTGGATTAAGTCTTTTTGAGGCATTTCAGTTTTGTTCGCAGCCTCCACAAAATATCGGAATAAATATCGTACTGTGAGATGTATATGGTGAAAATATCGTACAGAGAGATTTGGATATCGTTACATCTCTAATCATGATCCTCGCCTCCATATCGTGAGCTTTCCCACAATATCACAATAAATATCGTACCGTGAGGTTCTTACCGTGACGATATCGTATCGTTAGACTTGGATATGGTTACAATCCGTGTATCATTCGTTCATTTTTCAATATAAAACCAAAAATAAGAAAACAAAAAAACTACAGTTTTCTTCATTATTTGTCTCCAAAACCAAAATAAAAAAACTGAAAACGATTCGTTTTTTCAGTTTTCGATTTTGTGTTTAAATGAAAAATGGAAAAAACGGATAGAGTGGGACCAGGGCAGGACTGGGGAGGACTCCGAGCTTTGACTCTGAGCCTCCGCAGGGTCCGAGCCTCAGCTTCGAGCTCCGGCCCTGCCGTGGGCTCTAAGCCTCCGGTCTGGTCCCGCTCTGGTCCTGCGCTCTGGTCCCGACCTGGATCAGTCCTGGTTCAGTCCGTACACGGTGCAAAAGTCCGGCATCGCAGTCACGGACGTCACGTAAACGAGAAACGGCCGTTATCCGTTTTTTCCATTCTTCATTTAAACACAAAATCGAAAACTGAAAAAACTAATCGTTATCTGTTTTTTAATTTTGGTTTTGGAGACAAATAATGAAGAAAACTGATGTTTTCCGTTTTCTTATTTTTGGTTTTACATTGAAAAACGAATGAACGAATGATACATGGATTTGGTTACAGTCCTAATGGTGACACAGTGCACACATTTAAAAAACTGTCAAAAAAATAAGTTTTAAAAGGTGTACATTTTTGGTTGAGAATCTGTGTTTCTGTAGATATGTCACTGCTCTGTTGCTCTGCCTGGACTGTTTTTTTTTTTTTGTTTTTTTGATTTTCATTGTGATATTGGAGACAGTACAAACAGTAAAAGATATTTTGACTCGACAGGATCGGAAATGCAAACATCAAGGTTTAAAGGAGGTGACGAGACAATAACAATGGTTTCTGTTATTCTTGTTTGGGAGGGCGAGTGTCTGTGTGTTCAAGTAGGAAAGTAATAAAAGAGAAGAGCTGGTACAGGCGAGACGGGAAAAAAAAAAAAAAAAAAGACTATTTTTGTAATTAATGATAAGTCTCTTTTTCGTCTTCGTTCCGATCTAAAGTCCTTCCTTTCTTTTCGTTCTTTCCCTGTTCCTTCTCCTTCCTCGCCTTTTATTACCCCTTTGTTAATTATTTATTATTTACTTATTTATTTCTGTATTCTTTTCCCTTTTTTTTTTTTTTTTTGGAGTACAATATTAAACAGCTTTACTTTACATTCATTCAGTTACAGGTGATTTTAAAGCTCAAAAATACCTAGAAAAACGGACGTTCTGACTGTGAGCGGTGTCGCCTCTCCACAGATCTGGCCCGTAACTTGGTCTGGTTTGGTCTCCGTGAAGATAGAAAAGCAAAGCAATAATATGTTGTCACGGGTTCATCCGAAATAAATGTAAAAAAAAATGATGGCTCAGTCGAAAAATTTCACTTAAGTGTGTTTTTATTCACACCACAGCCCAAAGTGCAGAGGGGAATATTTACTGTGGAAAAATGAGGTGGTAGAGTCCAACAAAAAAAATAAGAATGTACCACAATATTTAGAGCAATCTCACTTACAGAAGCCAGCACCCACGTAGTCAGGCCAAAAACAGACTCCCAAATGACTGGAGCTCCCTCCTTTTATACCCCTTAGCCCCTCCCCCCCGGGCTAAACCAATTAACCAAAAATGGGGTTTAAAAGGAATTAACATACACAAACTGTCTTGATGAACACAAATCAACTTGGAAATAAACATAATAAAAATAACTTAAAGAACCTGTGGGAAATTATGTGGTGGGCCATGCTAAAATCACCTAACATTATGGACTTTGAAATGACAACAGGGTGGAAAAACACGTGTGATATCCATAGGTCTACATAACATGTTTTTCTTGCATTTAGAGTGCAATAAAGAACATGTTTTTCTGGACTTTGAGATGCCATGAAGCAGCAAAACTGACATATGTGGTCCCCGTGGCATGTTCCCACCCATGATGAGGTGCACTGGGTCAGCAGTATTGTTCATTTTCTTGCTGTATATGCTAAATCAACAAGTTAATGTTTTGTCAAGATGTAGTATAAAGCTACCCCTGAGTTTGAGTTGGTCATTGAGGTGTCGTTCCGGGGTGACAGTTGTACTTGGTAATCAACTTGAATCCTCTCAATGGAAAATGACGAAATAAAGTGGCCTGTTCTCTCGGATTCTCTATCTCTCGTGCTTCTTTTTAGGACACGCATGGAACCTTCAGAAAAAACCCACAAACCCCTCATAAGGGTAACATAAATTCCATTAAATAACTTAAAAACCCAAAATAACACCCCAAATAGACCAGAATGGTCGAGTCCACGATCACATGTCCCCCCTTGAGCGCGCCACTATGCGCTATTTAAAGCACAATCAGGAAGTGCCTCGGTTTGGCCCCCGAACCAGAGAACGGCGCAGAGGCTGCTGTTGGTAAGTGTCTGTGGGCGTCGGCGTCGAGTGTGCACCTCGAACGCACTCGCCGAGAAACCGTCCAGATGTTGGGGGGAAACAGGACCGCGAGACACACGAGCGGTCCTGCGTAAAACCGTCTTATCGGAGAAAACGGGAAAAAACGGATTCTGATGATGAACCCTTCACCAGAAAAGTTACACAATGCACCTTCTTTTGTGCCTGTTTTTCGAGGTATTTTTAAGCCGTAAAACCACCTGTAATTGAGTAACTGTAAAGTCGAGCTGTTTAATGTCACACTGTGGAACATTTCAGGCAGAGCAGTGACACATCCATAGAAACAAGCAGGTGATGGACTCCAAAACGAAAAGTTACATAATGCAGCTTTAAGTCTAGCTTGAATATCAGAGTTTCAGACGGAGCAGAGCCTACAGTTAGCGTCACACCCCCAGAGAACGTTGATGAGTCTCAAAATCTAAAAGTCAAATCTCACCAGAAGATGCTGTAGTTGGAGCAGTCCATACACACACAGTGCAGGGGGCTTCCTTCCTTCTCCGGTTTCTCTCCGTTCTCGTGGTTGACGCCGGAACCGTCCTCGAAGTGTTTCAGAGCGTGTCCGTTCACGTACCTGTCCACGACACACGCACACAGCAGGAGTTTTAAAAGGACACTGGTTAGGATTTCTTGGACCACGATGCAATTACGACAAGTTAAACTCTGAAAGACACTGGGTACGTTTACATGGACGGTCAAAAGCAGCACAACTGTATCTACACAACTATCATATTCTCTCTTTGGTTTATAATTCAGTGTAAACCAGTCTTCATTTAACTTTTATGTGACCTCTTGTATATAGCTGAGTTTTTTATTATTTATTTTTGTATTTTATTTGGACTTGTACATTTACATTTATATAATTATCTCTTATTTCACACCAGTCTCTGGCTCTTTTTTGCGACTTATGTTGAACTTATTGTTACCATTTATATTTTTTACTCTGTTTTTATATTATGTTGTGATGTGTGAGCTGCTGTGTCCAAATAATTTCCCTTGTGGATCAATAAAGTTACCAAATAGTCCCTTACTATCATGTACCAACCCTGTGAAGTTTTAGTGATTTTCGATCAATACTTTTTAAGTTACAGCTCGTTTAGTAAAGGGAGTATGTGTCAATTTACGGGCCCAAAATGCGCGTCATTTTTTCTCGGTCGTTTTCACAGGTCGATATCTCTGTAAGTATCACACACACAGGGCTTGTGCTCCTCTACTCTGTGTTCAAATAACATCTATTGAAAGTTTGGTATCTCAACTCAATGTCATTTTATATGAGCTTAATAAAAATAAAAAATGCCCACATCCACGTTCATTTCCGTGGCGTACGATTTTAGCCCCTTTTTAAACCTACTTGTAGGTGTAGTAGACCCTTAATTTTTTTGAGAATCAAGATTTGTACTAGGACTGTAAAAAAAAAAAATCACCAAATGTTGAACATTTGAAATAGTTTATGTGTGAGGATCCTGTTAAAAACAAGAAAACGTAACATGGTCAGATTTTCACATGTAATTTATGGCATTTGAGTAGTGATTAAAAAAAAATGTGAATAATTTTTTTTTTGAAAGACCAGAAAAAGACCTTTCATATGGCACCAAACATATGTATTTTATGACGCTCCTTCAATTTTTAACTGTATCTTGAACATTCATATTTGACACAATGACATGAGTTTACAGTGACAGAAAAAAATTATGTGATTTTGGGCCTGTAAATTGACACATACTCCCCTCACTAAATGAGTTGTAACTTAAAAAGTATTGATCGAAAATGACTAAAACTTCACAGGGTTGGTACATGATACTAAGGGACCAGCTGGTAATTTTTTCTAAATTTTTAAAAAAACATGATGCGTGAGATTTTCTGGAAATTTGATGAAATGGTGTGGAATGACCCTGTATTATTAAGAGTAACTGTTGTATTTTTGAAGAAAAAGTACACAGAATTTTACAATAATTCTTTCAATCTTGGTCCGTGTACTATTCGTTCTTTTGAATTTCAATTAAGAATGGAAAACAATAAAATGGGAAAACAGTTTGTTATTTCATTATTTTACAAAACAAAAAATAGATTTTGACCTCTTGTTCCAATATTTAATTTAAAGTTTATTAAAAATAACATCAATCAAAAACTGTCTTGGTGTCTATTTTATTTGCCCAGGAAGTTCTGCTGCTGAAGGACTCACCTAAAAAAATTATTGCAGTTTTATGGACAAACATGTCGTGTTCTTTTATTGCGACATGTTTACTTTTGGGTCTTAGAAAATAATTGTTGAACTCCATGACCAGAAACAGGTAGCAGCAAAGCAATAAACTTTATTCAGCTGACACCACAGAACTATAATAAAAACTATTTTTATTACAGATCCGTGGTTGACGCTGAAATCACACGCGGAGCACGAAGCAGCAAACTTTCTGTCGCAAATGAACCAGAGAGAATAAAATATCAGAATCAAAATAGGCACAGAGGCTGATTTTTGATTGGTAATTTGAAATAAACTTTAAATTAAATATTGGAAATAGAGGTTGAAATCTTTTTTTTTTTGTTTGACACTATAACAGAAAAATGAAATAACAAACAGTTTTCCCATTTTATTGTTTTTCTTTTCTTTTTTTTAAATTGAAATTCAAAAGAACGAATGGTACACAGATTCATTTTTAACATTTCCTCTTTGCCACATTAGTTTTTGCACATTTTTACTCGTCAAAACTTGCACAGATGATCAGAAAGAAATCAGATTAATCATATTTAACTGTTTACGCGCCATTTTAATAAACTGATAACTCCAGAAAAAGTGTTGGGAAGGTGACTTTTAAAATGTAATCCCCTACAGATTACAGATTACATACCCCAAAATGTAGTTTGTAACAGAATCCATTAAATTACTTTAGGTGAGACACGGTCCGTACAGCATGGTTTAGTCCTGTTAAATCCTGTTTTAGTCCTGGTTTAGACCTGGTTTCATCCTGGTTTAGACCTGGTTTAGTCCTGGTTTTTAGTCCGGGTTTTAGATCTGGTTTAGATCTAGTTTAGACCTGGTGTTAGTCCTGGTTTAGACCTGGTTTAAGACCTGGTTTAGATCTAGTTTAGATCTGGTTTAGACCTGGTTTAAGACCTGGTTTAGATCTAGTTTAGACCTGGTTTTAGTCCTGTTTTAGACCTGATTTAGTAATGGTTTAGACCTGGTTTAAGACCTGGTTTAGATCTAATTTAGATCTAGTTTAGATCTGGTTTAGACCTGGTTTAGACCTTGTTTAGACCTTGTTTAGATCTAGGTTAGACCTGGTTTTAGTCCTGTTTTAGTCCTGTTTTAGACCTGGTTTAGTCCTGGTTTAGACCTAGTTTAGATCTAGTTTAGTCTTGGTTTAATTCTGTTTTAGTCCTGGTTTAGATCTAGTTTAGACCTGGTTTAGTTTCCGGCAATGAGTGAAATTACCGACAAAAACAAAAAGGGGGGATATAGCTCAAAATGTGAAAACAGAAAAATACCGCTGTATAATCCATTTATTTCAACAAAGTAACTGTAATCCAAAAAACAGTAAGTGTAACCGAATACAGTTACTCATAATTTGTACTCTGATTAAGTAAACCCCGGCACGTGTAATCCGTTACTCCCCAACACTCTCTAGAAATCAGATAATGATCAGATTTCCGCTGTAGCTTCGTAAACATCTAAACAAAACAAAACATCGCCGCAGTTGTGCAGAAACTCACCTCCCGCAGTGGATTTGCAGACAGGTTAAGCATATCCACGAATTCTGATCGGACCTGCACTCTGCGGGGGGGAAAAGAATGAGATTTAGCGAAGAAAGAAGCGGATGAAGTGGAAAAAGCGCGCACCGTTTCATTTCATTGCAACACAAGAGAGATCCTCCTCCGTGCGCCTCCTTCTCCATGCGCCTCCTTCTCCTCCTCACCTTGGCAGCTCCAGGAGGACGGGGTGCCCTGGGGTAAGCGGGTCGGGTCCAGGCCTGAGCTCACGGTGCAGCTCAGATGAGGACACTCCATCAGTCACGAGAAACAAACGGAACACGGAACCGGGGGGACGAACACAAGGAAACGAGGATCCACCACCTGAGCGAGCTAAACCAAACCTCGCCGCGTCCGTCCGTATAACGCGGCGCTTTCCCCTCTCCGGCCGAGATTTTACAGCTGAATCAACGTGGCTTTGTGAAAATATTACTTTCGTTCATTTACGTGAAAATCCGTCCTTTATTTTTGGAAAGATAACTACAAACCCTGGCCATAAACAAATGGAAAGATCTCAAGGAAGTGACGTATGCGTAACCGGCTGCGTGCTGAAGATTTTTTTTTTTTTTAAATATAAAAATAGCTAAACTTTGCTGCGGATATCACGTTTCACATCAAACTTATCAAAATAATAATTATAATAATAATAATTTACGATTTGGCCAGTCTCTTGAGTTTTTTAATATTTACTTTATTACGGGTTAATAAATTGTTGTACGCATGCGCACTCCCCTCGTTGCCTTTTTACTGCGCCAAATAGCTTTTTTTTATTGGTCATAAAACGCTTACAAAACACACATTTTCATGATAATAAATGAATAAACTTGATATTGCTGTACTTTCAAGGGTTTTATTTTGGCTACTTAGAAGGAGATTGTAAAAGTTCTGTATTAGAGTAGATGAGATTAGATTTAACTTTATTGTCTTTACACAAGTATAAATACAAGATAATGAAATATGGTTTCTGATCAGAAGTGTAAGGAGCAGCAAGTGCGCTATATACAGAATGTGGAGTATATACAATATAGACAATATACAGCAGGGGTGTCAAACATACGACCCGGGGGCCAGATCCGGCCCTCCAAGACCTTTAATCTGGCCCTCGGCTGATTTTCTACTAAAATATTTTAATTATATTTTCTATTAAAATATTGGTGATTTTCTGTGGTGTTTATCACAGCAGTGTCTCCAGCGTCTCTGTACGTGGCCCCTCCCACCAGAGCAGCACAAATGAAGACTTGTCTCTTTCCAAACGCTCTTAAAGGACGATCGTTTTGACTGTTGACCGTGACACCCTCATCAGAAAAATGTCCAACATGAGAAAAGTGGAGCCGAGTGCAGGATTTTCCCAAGAAAAATTTAATTATTCCTATTTACATACAAGTTCATGTTAAAACTTTGTGTTGAAATTGCATTTTTCTTAAAGTTTCAGGTTGTTCATAATATTATATTATATTGTAAAACAAAGAGTTCATCAATTAAAAAAAGATTTCTGTAATAGATTTGTGTTTCTCTGCACAAATATTTGAACTTATTGTTAGTTTTGGGGTTTATATGACATGAGTTTTCTGATCCGGCCCCTTTGGGATCAAAGTCAGTTGGATACGACCCCCGGACCAAAATGAGTTTGACACTCCTGATATACAGTATATTACATATATATACAAATAAATATGTCAGTATGAACAGGAGGGAATTAGATATAATATAATATACATGGGGGATATAAAAGCAGATGTACTGTAAACAATAACACAGTTTACATGGAAAACGTTAGTAGAATATACTAAGAACAGACATACTGGGTGCTATAGAAAATATAAATATGTATGACATATAAATGAGCAAAAGATATACATGAACAGGTGCTGTAAATAAATAAATAAATATAAAGTTATGTATCAGATGTAATATGAACATGTTGGCATGATATGCAGTTATATACAGTACTGGTGATATATACTATATTAAGTTGTGATTGTGAGCTTATAGTCGAGTTAGAACGTTGGGACTTGTGTTTTGTTTCATTCACACGTTTGAGTAAAACTTTAAAATTAGTCTGTGATGAGGAAACATTATAAATAACAGAAAATTGTGTAATATCAACTCTTTACATGGAGACACGTGTGCCCACCCATGATCAAAGCTTCAGTCTGTAAAATTGTCACTTAAGCCTAAGTATATTTTAGCTTTGCTTCATTGCTCATCCACTAATGTAAACATCAGTGATTCTAATCTTTGCATTGCCTGTGTGCCTTTGAGCAAAATACTTTTACCTTGCTTGATTGTGTGCCTGTGATTGGTAATGCAGAAAATGCAATTCTTTAAAACAAGTCCACATATCTTTATTGAGACAACATCGTGTTGAACAGTTTACAGAGGTTTTTAACATTCACTGATATGAAAAAATAAAACACAGAATGAGTTGACAAAATAACCAACCGCTTCAACTCCAAAATAGTGTTAATCACACTTCACTGTTCACTAGGCCTAATCGTGTTGGTAATTTGTTCCATATTACCTTTAAAAAAACAAAGATTTATCGTGTTCAGTCAAGTCTTCATGGATTAAAACTGTTCTAAAGATTCAGAACACATAACAGTCCAGTGTAAACCTGAGCCCATCTGTGTGAGAACAGTCACATGATCTGCATTCAGCAGGTCTACAGTTTTTTTTCAGTCTCTTTGGCACATTTTCTGAAACTTTTGGCAAAAAAATAAAAAATAAAAAATCACAGAAGACACAAAACAATTCAGAATGTTTGAAAAATTAAACTTTGTGAAAAAAACACAAACACAGTCATCAGATTTATAAACTCATCTAAACATCACCAGCATCACACTGTTTCTGTTTGACAAGGACGCACAATATTACAAATGTTTTCAAATCTGTCCTGGAGCTCCAAGTTTCTGATTCTTGTGAGTTCAGTTTTGTACTTTGTGTCTTTGGACTTTGGTTAAGAGTATTAGTATTAGTATTACATCTGCAGTCTCTCTTTAAATAGTTGATCGCTGAGTTTTAGTTTCTGTAAAAGGTGTTTTGGAGTTTTGATCTGAGAATTAAGGCTTGAGTGGCAAGTTTTGGGATTTGTGCCGAAATTGAGCCTTTCTAGAGGAGGATCTGCCATACGATGTCTGTATGAAAATGTTATTACTTTGTCTAGAATGTTCCACAGTATAGATTAAACGTACCATCACGAAGAAGACGAGCAAGTTACACTAAACTACTTAAAATTCAGATCTGCGGAGAGTCACCCCTATTCACAGAAGAAGGAATTATTGTATTTTTGAGCAACAGAAACACCCGTAATGAATAAATTCTTGATAGAAATGTTTAAAGTTATACCGAGGCGTGGAACATTCAGGGCAAGAGCAGATTTAAGTGTCAAAGCGACTGAAAAAAAAAACTGTAAATAAAGCACCAGAGTGACCAGAGTGAGCCATTCTAGTGCTCTGTCCCTCGTCTCTGTCTGCGGTCACATGATCGTGGTCACATGACCCTTCACGCCACCTCCGTTGTGGTTTCCTGCAGAGGGACGTCCTGCTGTTTTCTTTTCCCCGCTCCCTTCTTCTTCGCTTCCTTTTGCCTGGATTGAACAAAAACAGGTTGAGATGCTTCGTAAAAAAAACAGCGGGCAGAGCGCAGATGTTTTGGTGCCACTCACTTTGACTTGACAGTTAAAACGGCAATAGTTACGATGATACCGACGACGACCAGAGTCAGCAACACTGCGCAGATGATCGCTGTAAAATAAAAACAACACAAAATTAGAATTTACAATATGGCAAAAAATGAATACGCGTTTGTGATTTTCTTGGAACCAGATCACAATTCCAATCTTATCATGATTTGGGTAAACTTCGTAAATTTCGATTGCTCTTTTCACCATTCCGGAGTAACTTTCCTAAAACGTCTGACTAAAATGACTCTCGTTTCAAAGTGATTCTGTTTCTGAATCATTTGGAGCTCACGCAAATGGCTGGACTTTTTGTGAAGCTGAGGCTCTGGAGTTTTGGCCTCTGTCTGTTCTACTCTCGTTATAAGAGTGTGATCTACTCTACTGTGCCTTTACACAAAATAGATTCTTGTGTTGTTCCCTCCTCAAAATCAGACCTGGAGTTGTGTTTTGTTTCATTCACATGTTTGAGAAACTTTTTATTATTCGTCTGTCTACATCTGCAAAGCCCAAAATGCTGTGTTCCACCTTGTGATGTCATGAAGTGGTAGTTTCTAACAGATATACCTTTTACATTTAGTTCCAGAGCAGAAATCTTCCACATGATTCTAGTGAAGGTGATTAAAGTTTAAAAACAAAATGGAGCACTTCCTGCATCACCACATGACATCACAAGTACAGTTTTCAGGCCGACAGAGAACTGAGCCGGTGCTGGTCCCAACACCCGCGAACCGACGTGTTCAGAATCAAAGCGTTTGGGAACCGACAAGTTGGTTCTTGACGGGAACCAAGTAAAACTTGTTTTTTTCTAAGCAAACTGTGACGACAGTCGACGTGAGCAGGTTCATTTGGGTCACACACAGGAAAATAAAGAAAATGTGTGTGTGGAACATGGTGAAGAAAAGTGACAAGAAGATTGTGCCGTGGTCAGAGGAGGAGACCAAATATTTGCTCTAATCATGTTCATCCAAAGATGTAAGGATCAATCTTTGGATTCAGCATCGCTGCCGCCTTCTCCACAGCTGATGTTTCTCCACAGCTGATGTTTCTCCACAGCTGATGTTTCTCCACAGCTGATGTTTCTCCACAGCTGATGTTTCTCCACAGCTGATGTTTCTCCACAGCAGATGTTTCTCCACAGCTGATGTTTCTCCACAGCTGATGTTTCTCCACAGCAGATGTTTCTCCACAGCAGATGTTTCTCCACAGTAGATGTTTTGTGAGTACAAATGCTCACTGGTGTCAATGATTCGATCCATAATTTTCCTCGCTGTGACATCCACTTTTGTGTGGCCTTGTTTTTATTTGGTCGATGACGCAGCGTGGATTCACTTAAACGGTTTGAAAGTGAGTCGTTCACCGGTGAAAACTTTGGTTCCCAGTGTAACCAGCACCAGCACTGTTCTCAGTGACCTGAAAACAGCTAGAGTGGAACAGAGCGTCTTCTGTGTAAGAGAAAAACTCAAGTCTAAATGTGCAGGTTTGTGTCTTAAACGTGAGTGAATGAAACAAAACACAACTCCAGGTCTGTTTGTGAACCTTTATCACAGAGATCAGAACAGGCCCTTTAAGCTTTGAATTATTAATATTTGGCTCCCCAGCTTTACCAGCCGGGTGCCTGTCTCACCGTGGATGCCGTGGCAGGTGGAGTTGCAGAGGCCCATGTCGGTGAAGCGGTTTCCGTTGCCATAGCAGCCGGTGTAGATGAATTTCCTGCAGCGGTCGTTGACAGAGTCGTAGTAATACCTGAGCAGATTGGAAGTGCAGTTTCCTACAGCCTTTGGGAAGTGACAGGCTTTGGTCCCTGTCCAAGAAAAACAATGAAAACACATCAGAGAACATTTATATTTACAGACAAAAGGAGGAGCAGCAGAGAGGAGCAGAGAGAAGGAGAGAGGAGCAGAGAGAAGGAGAGAGGAGCAGAGAGAAGGAGAGAGGAGCAGAGAGGAGAGAGAGAGAGAGAAGAGAGAGAGAGAGAGAGAGAGGAGCAGAGAGAGAGAGAGAGAGAGAGAGAGAGAGGAGCAGAGAGAAGAGAGAGAGGAGCAGAGAGAGAGAGAGAGAGAGGAGAGAGGAGAGAGAGAAGGAGAGAGGAGCAGAGAGAGAGAGAGAGAGAGAGAGAGAGGAGCAGAGAGAGAGAGAGAGAGAGAGAGAGAGAGAGAGAGAGAGAGAGGAGCAGAGAGAGAGAGAGAGAGAGAGAGAGAGTGAGAGAGAGAGAGAGGAGAGAGGAGCAGAGAGAGAGAGAGAGAGAGAGAGAGAGAGAGAGAGAAGGAGAGAGGAGCAGAGAGGAGAGAGAGAAGGAGAGAGGAGCAGAGAGAAGGAGAGAGGAGCAGAGAGAGAGAGAGAGAGGAGAGAGGAGCAGAGAGAAGGAGAGAGGAGCAGCACAGAGAGGAGGTGACATGCACACACACTGTAAAAAACACTGTCAAATATGAACGACATAAAAAAGTTGTCCGGAGTCGGTCCTGTGTGTCTTTCACTGATTCTGCAGACGCTCGAGTCCAGAGCACAAGGACGTTTGCTCTGGTGGTTTGATGTTTGGATCAGCAGAGGAACAAGGCCTAATTATTGACCTATTTCAGTGAATAAACACATTTCTCTTTGGTGTCTGTCTCCTGTGCAGCAGAGTGTTTAGTGCAGGCGTCTCCAGCCTGTAGCTGTTACCAGTCAATCTCCATCCACCTCCAAGCAGCTCACCAAGGGATTTTTGAATTATACGTATTGCATTGAATAACTAAAATTTGACTGATCAAATGTCTATTTCCACTGTAAATGTATAATTTTGATGCCTAACTTTGTGAACTGATAGGAGATAACTGTTTATGTTTTACAGACCTCTAACTGTTCCGTCTGAGGCTCACTGTGGCTCTTATGTTTCCTCTGTTTCTGGCAGCCGCTAAAATGAGCAGCTCTCTGTCATTTTCCTTTTACAGAAAGTAGCTCACAGGAGGAAAAAGGTTGGAGACTCCTGGTTTAGTGTGAAGCACGTCTGTTAAGATCAGGACCTCTGCTGTTTAACCATTACAGTCTCGTTTGGGCCTTGCGCCCCCTAGAGGACGGAGCACCAACTAAACACTGTGAGCACAGACTGACAGACAAGGGCCCGAGGTGTTTGGATTCTCACAGACTCCCTGATGCACGTTCAGTCACTGTGGGGCATTTAGATTTGACACTTTTCCTCTGCACACGTGGCATCTGCTCTACCTTTAAAAAGGTCACACTAAGGACCCTAAGGACATAAATGTCCTCTTACAAAAACAGCGGTCATCGTAGATTCAGATTTTTTCACACTTTTATCCAAAGCTCAATCCCTGCTCTAATCAATCATATTAAATTTATAAAAAATCATCAGGGTTTAAAAGCCAGTTTGAAAATGCCATTAGTGAAAAAATGGCCTTTAAAATTGAGAAAACAGAAGCCCGATTATAATGAGGTACATGTTTATGTGTTGCAGGGTCGTGGGTTTCATCTGCCACTGACTGGTGAAAAAAATCAAACAGACCAGCAGATGGAGGCGTTAAAAGGATCTGGTTGGATATTTGACTCTTTTGTCTTGTTGTCAAACATGATGAGGTTCATTTCAGGTCCAATCTGTCAACAGTTTCTGTACAAATAAACAGAGACTGGACTCGTTGTGTGTGGTCTGGTGTGTGATTATAACAGATCCATGTGTGGCGCTCACGGTCCATGGGGTAGATGTTCTCGGCGTTGGCAGAGCAGTTCCGGATGCACTCGATCTCGTTGACGAAGCGGTTGGCGTTTCCTCCTTCGCCCGAGTACAGGAAGGGCCGGCACAGGCCCCGCGCAGAGTCGTAATACAAGGAGAAGGAGATTAAGGTGCCCGTGCCCTCATCTTTGGGCAGCTGACAGAACGCTGAAAAACAAATCAAATATTATGGGAGTTTAAATTAAAGGGCTCATTAATCCATTTTCTGATCTATGTTATAATCAGTGTTGGGGAGTAACAGATTACATGTACTGGAGTTACGTAATCAGAGTACAAATGATGAGTAACTGTATTCAGTTACAGTTACTGTTTCAGTGAGTGGTAATTGGATTACAGTTACTTTGTTGAAATCAACTTGGCTAGATTTTGTTTTTTGCAGTAAATAAAATGACTTCTCTTTGGGAGTGAACGGCTCAACCTGAGAACAACAAGAAAACAAGAACAAAAACGAAACATTCAATCTTGATCTTTTATCTCGACATTCTGTGAAAATTTTAGGTTATTTCAACAAAAATTTCCAAAATTATCGGCCTGCGAAATGATGTCACATTTTTGAGACAAATGTTTTAGTAAAATGAGCTGTCCAACTTTTTATATGCACTTTAAAGATGCATTGTGTAACTTTTCTGGAGGGTGGCGTCTCTGTCACCTGCTTGTTTCTACGGACACGTCATTGCTCTGCCTGGAATGTTCCACAGTGTGACTTTAAACAGCTCTACTATACATTTATTCAATCACAGGTTTAATCACTTAAAAATCCCTTGAAAAACAGACATTCTGATTGTGAGCAGGTCGCCTCTCCACAGATCTGACCTGAAATCAGTGTTGGGAAGGTGACTTTTAAAATGTAATCCCCTACAGATTACAGATTACATACCCCAGAATGTAGTTTGTAACAGAATCCATTAAATTACTTAAAGTGAGTAATGTAATCTGAATACTTTGGATTACTTGATTTGCTGTAGAGAAACAAAGACGAGGAAATCTTCACATAAGATGTTTTATCTGATAAAAGAAAATAAAAAGCCCAGACTTTATTTAACCAAATTAAAAATATTATTGATAGAAGAAGAAACACGTCCACACAGCAGGATTTAGTCCTGTTAGTTCTGGTTTAGTCCTTTTATCCTGTTTTAGTCCTTGGTTTAGTCCTGGTTTAGTCCTGGTTTAGACCTGGTTTAGACCTGGTTTTAGTCCTGGTTTAGTCCTGGTTTAGTTCCTGGTTTTAGTCCTTGGTTTAGTCCTGGTTTAGACCTGGTTTAGTCCTGGTTTAGACCTGGTTTTAGTCCTGGTTTAGTCCTGGTTTTAGTCCTGGTTTAGACCTGGTTTACCTGGTTTAGACCTGGTTTAGACCTAGTTTTAGTCCTGGTTTTAGTTCCTGGTTTTAGTCCTTGTTTAGTCCTGGTTTAGACCTGGTTTAGTCCTGGTTTTAGTCCTGGTTTAGACCTGGTTTAGTCCTGGTTTTAGACCTGGTTTAGTCCTGGTTTAGACCTGGTTTAGACCTGGTTTAGTCCTGGTTTAGTCCTGGTTTAGACTGGTTTAGACTGGTTTAGACCTGGTTTTAGTCCTTGTTTAGTCCTGGTTTAGACCTGGTTTAGTCCTGGTTTTAGACCTGGTTTAGACCTGGTTTAGACCTGGTTTAGTCCTGGTTTAGACCTGGTTTAGACCTGGTTTAGTCCTTTTTTAGTCCTGGTTTAGTTTCCTGGTTTAGACCTGGTTTAGACCTGGTTTAGACCTGGTTTAGACCTGGTTTAGACCTGGTTTAGTCCTGGTTTAGACCTGGTTTAGTCCTGGTTTAGACCTGGTTTAGTCCTGGTTTAGACCTGGTTTAGTCCTGGTTTAGACCTGGTTTAGTCCTGGTTTAGACCTGGTTTAGACCTGGTTTAGTCCTGGTTTAGTCCTGGTTTAGACCTGGTTTAGTCCTGGTTTAGACCTGGTTTAGTCCTGGTTTAGACCTGGTTTAGTCCTGGTTTAGACCTGGTTTAGTCCTGGTTTAGACCTGGTTTAGTCCTGGTTTAGACCTGGTTTAGACCTGGTTTAGACCTGGTTTAGACCTGGTTTAGACCTGGTTTAGTCCTGGTTTAGACCTGGTTTAGTCCTGGTTTAGACCTGGTTTAGTCCTGTTTAGACCTGGTTTAGTCCTGGTTTAGACCTGGTTTAGACCTGGTTTAGACCTGGTTTAGTCCTGGTTTAGACCTGGTTTAGACCTGGTTTAGTCCTTTAGTCCTGGTTTAGACCTGTTTAGTCCTGGTTTAGACCTGGTTTAGTCCTGGTTTAGACCTGGTTTAGTCCTGGTTTTAGACCTGGTTTAGACCTGGTTTTAGACCTGGTTTAGACCTGGTTTAGTCCTGGTTTAGACCTGGTTTAGACCTGGTTTAGTCCTGGTTTAGACCTGGTTTAGACCTGGTTTAGACCTGGTTTAGTCCTGGTTTAGACCTGGTTTAGTCCTGGTTTAGACCTGGTTTAGACCTGGTTTAGACCTGGTTTAGTCCTGGTTTAGTCCTGGTTTAGACCTGGTTTAGTCCTGGTTTAGACCTGGTTTAGTCCTGGTTTAGACCTGGTTTAGACCTGGTTTAGTCCTGGTTTAGACCTGGTTTAGTCCTGGTTTAGACCTGGTTTAGACCTGGTTTAGTCCTGGTTTAGACCTGGTTTAGTCCTGGTTTAGTCCTGGTTTAGACCTGGTTTAGTCCTGGTTTAGTCCTGGTTTTAGTCCTTGTTTAGTCCTGGTTTAGACCTGGTTTAGTCCTGGTTTAGACCTGGTTTAGTCCTGGTTTAGTCCTGGTTTAGTTCTGGTTTTAGTCCTTGTTTAGTTCTGGTTTAGTCCTGGTTTAGTACTGGTTTAGACCTGGTTTAGTCCTGGTTTAGTCCTGGTTTAGTCCTGGTTTAGACCTGGTTTAGACCTGGTTTAGACCTGGTTTAGACCTGGTTTAGTCCTGGTTTAGTCCTGGTTTTAGACCTGGTTTAGTCCTGGTTTAGACCTGGTTTAGTCCTGGTTTAGACCTGGTTTAGTCCTGGTTTAGTCCTGGTTTAGTTCTGGTTTACCTGGTTTACTGGTTTAGTCCTGGTTTAGACCTGGTTTAGTCCTGGTTTAGTCCTGGTTTAGTCCTGGTTTAGACCTGGTTTAGACCTGGTTTAGACCTGGTTTAGACCTGGTTTAGTCCTGGTTTAGACCTGGTTTAGACCTGGTTTAGACCTGGTTTAGACCTGGTTTAGACCTGGTTTAGTCCTGGTTTATGTAATCTGTTACTCCACATCACTGCCTGTAACTTGGTCCAGTTCGGTCTCCGTGAAGACAGAAACGTTTAAAGCCACACTGTGAAACATTCCAGACAAAGCAACAACACCTCCGTGAAGAAAAACATCCGTATCGTAAAGTTTTCTGTTTATTTTTGAAATGTTTGCCTTATTTGGCCACTTCCTGTTTGCGTGGTTGATAGTAAGAAGCAAAAACGATGACGTCTGGTGTAATATTTAACCCGCACGGATCCACTCCCTGATTTTACAGCCGTAATAAAACTATAGTTGAAGGTACATCTTTGTTCTCCCGCCCTTTTACACAGAAGCTTTAACTTCTCTCATCATTATCTTGAACAACATCGCAAACAAAATCGATATTTCCACGTCTCCGGCCTCTTTTTAACCCAAAATTTACACAACACACGCAAAAAAACTGACCCGAAACTCCAATAAAGACAATTACGAAGGAAGAAAAATGGAAAAAAACAAAATTCCTGTGTGTTATTAGACCTGGAAGAGCTGAAAATATGACACAAAAATGAATATTATCTGCATTTTTTAGTTCAATTTTGCATGTTTTCCAAGTTTCTGAATGACATACCTGAAATTATTGTTGGTTTTCAGATTAAAAAACGCAATTAGGTCATAAACTCTTAACGTGGGAAGCAAGAGACAGGTTTTCTAATTGATTTCATTGTATTTTACCACGAAAAATCCAAAATGAAATGAGTAACTTGAATAATTTCTGAACAAAACTCACCAAATTTGCTTTTTTAACAATATTAACAACAGCATCATGAACCTATAAACTGTTCTAACGTCTAAAAGCAGCAAAAATTAAGTTAGAATTGTTAATTATGAAACTAGAAATGGTTAAAGAAGATTTTGTTTTTACCTGGAGTCTGAAATCCAGAGTGAACCAGCGTCAGAGCGGTGCCTAAAAACAGCAGCAGCTTCATGGTAAAGGTAGAGGTTCGGGTTCTTTGTCCGGCTCGGGGAGAAATAAGAACGAGGACGCAGAAAGGGAGGCACACGGATGAACTTCGAACCTTCTCCAGTGAAGCGGCGGCGCTGCAATCGAAACCAGCCGCTCCACTCGGCGTTTATGGCACCTCCAACCGCGCAGAGATAAGAGAGAGAAGTCTGCTCTGACATAAAGGCCACGGACACTTCTTCTTTGCCATGTGGAACTCAGTGTGTCTCTGTACTTGTGTCTCTCTGTGTGTTTGATTCTGTTTAAGACAAAACAGAACTGCAGAAAACTAAAGACTGTTTTTGTATTCTTTTACAGAATTAGATCAATTAAATTAAATTATACATACTTATACATTTCATGATAAGGTAACGTAAGATAAATATGCCTATTCAGCAGGATTTGTTCAGATTTCATCAACGTGAAAAAGTGCCGTTCATGTTCTGAGATAAATATGTGTAGAGGGGTTCGAAAAAAGTTTCAAAGCCTAAACATAATTTTATTGCATGCAACCGCTTTACATAACTTTTTTACGCAAATCCAGCGACCTTTTTTTTCAGTGTATTGGGTTCACTGCTTTGTCTTTTTTTTGGGGGGGACCCATATTTTCATGACCCAAGTCAATAGACATTAATCATAAATCACAAAATAAAGTTGTATTTGATCATTATTGAACATTATTGAGGATATTTTGTTGTTGACTGAGTATTCGTGTCTCTCAACAATTAGTTTTACTCAAGTTTTGTGATGTAAAAATAACCGAAAAATATCGTGATCTCGTATCGTCAAAGTTCTCACAATAATATCGTGGATCATCACAATATATCGAATCACAAGTGTCTCTGTTTAAATTAAGAGTTTTGGTGCAGCAATAACTAAAAAAAGACAGAGGGAACTACATAGACCATGATCCTTTGCTCCATTTCAGTGCAGACGACAAGAAGAAATAACAGTTGGGCCCAGTCAAGCAGAAGTAAACAACAAGGCCAAAAATTCAAGTTAATTCATCTGATATAAAAATGTATTGAACAGATACATATGTACTCTAGTTTATGAAACTGTTGACCTTTTTTCTGTACCATTTTTGGTTCTAAAGTTCCATATGTTTTAAACAGACCATGTATGAAACATGGAACAAAAATTATTTCCCAAATTTCAAAGACCTGAAAATCATGTAAATAAATGGATGTATTTCATCATATCTTGTGTTATTCCATCTTTGAACTGTTGATGAAGGTACATGATTTTTTTTTAAAATGTATTTAAAATGATAAAAATTTGCTTGGAAGGACTGATATATTTTATAGAAATAGTTTCCTTTCATTTTGAAGTAAAAGAAAAAAGTGACAAATGATGTAAAATCCTGCACCTTCTACTTGTTTGCACAATTTTCCCTCCGTTACTTTTCCCTCCGTTACCATGAACTTTCTTAATAAAAAATCTCATGAGTCAAAAAGTAAGAGGTTTTTCAGCCTAATCTTGTACCATATGGTAGAAAACTATATGAAGCAAATATTCAAACCAGTTTGTTAAGGATATGTAAGTGAGAACCAAGAGTTATCACTGTTTGGATTTATTGCCCAAAAAGTGCTGCATATTTCATTCCCTCCGTTACCGACATGAGTTTTTTAAATTTTTTGTCAACAACTTGAAAGAATATCACAGGTTTAACTTGACCCTGTTGGAGTGTAACTCTTTCCTACATTCTGATACTTTACTTATTTCAATAGTTCCTCTAGTTTCTGAATAAGAGACATTTGAATGTCAAAAATCTGCCCTGTTTCCCTCCGTTACTGCTTGACCGAACAGTTCTAACACTTTTAAGTCTTAGTTCTTTGGATTAAGTCTTGTCGAGGCGTTTTAAGAGGAAAAAGTAGCATATTAACAAAATATCACAATAAATATCGGTTTATCGTGAAAATATCGTACAGAGAGATTTGGATATTGTTACATCTCTAATCATGAGCCTCCCATCCATATCGTGAGCTTTCCCACGATATCGTAATAAATATCGTACCGTGAGATTCATACCGTGACAATATCGTATCGTGAGACTTGAATATCGTTACACTCATACTCAAGTTTTAAGCAGTGATTGAAGCAGCAATAAAAGGATCCATAAGTCGCCTATTTGGACTTTAAATGTGGCCCGTTTCTTTTTCTTTTCAACATTCAATTGAACCAACAACACTGGAACAAAATAGTCAATAAAATAATTACAAAAAGATTAGAAATGATACAAAACATGTCTTAACAGATCAACACTTCTAGTGAGACAGGTGGACCTGTGTGTGTTTTGTAGCGTGTTCAGTCCGAGTGCAGGAGGAGACGCAGCAGCAGATCAGGGGCAGAACTGTATATCAATCAATCAATCAAACTGTAAAAAAAAACAAACAATAAACATCATACAAACAGGTCAACAAAGCACATTACACCATTAAAATAAAGAAAGTGTCAAAGGGCCACTAAGGCTGCGTTCAGACTGCAGGGCTTGACGCTCAATTCAGATTTTTGTGTGAAATCTGATGTTTTTTCGAGGTCGTTCACATTTCCAATTAAATGTGTCTTGTCTGTGACTCCAGTGTGAACATTAAACGGTCCGAAAGTGTCCCACATGTGACACTGGAGACACGACGACGTCAACCGCAGCGAGCGTCTCTGTGTTTACGGAAGTTGTCCAAACATGGACGCAGCATCGAGCACCTGGAGATTTTAAAGTTCCTCTCGTACCGGAGCCAGAACATGAACAACTTACTTGTTTTAAGGAGGAGATTGAGAAGGAGAAGGACGAGGTTTTTGGTCGTGGTGTTTTGTGGTTCAGTCCGTTGAAAGGAACGTGTGGATGTGGAGACGGAGCCAAGAGTGGTGAGTGGAGATGTGCTTCACTTCAGTGACACAGAGTTCATTAACAGGTTTTCATTTGACGAGAAGAACGTTTGTGTACATTTGTGGCTTGTTGATAACGTGTAGGTGGATGAATGCACTTTGGTCGTTCAGACTGAAGTCACATGTCAAAAGATCAGATATGTATCAGTTTCAGGAGCACATATCCAAGTGTCCTGGGTCACATTTGAAAAAATCTGATCTGTGTGGTTCAGACTGACATTAAAAGATCAGATACAGGAACATAGGGGCCAAAAAATCAGATTTGGGTCAGTTCAGGCTGCAGACTGAACACAGCCTTAGTGTTAAAACTCATTCTAAATAAGTAGGTTTTAAGTTTGGCTTTGAACAGCAGCAGGTCAGGGATGGACCAGAACTCAATGGGCAAAGAGCTCCAGTATATTGCAGCCCGACAAGAAGATCGTGACAAGGGAACAAGGGAACCCCCCCCAAAAAAATCTCTTGGCACCTGTGGGTCAAACTAAATGTTCAGAGACACGATCACTCAGTCAACAATAAAATATCCTCATTAATGTTCAACAAAACCAACTTTATTTTGTGATTTATGAATATTGTCTGTTGATTTGGGTCAAGGTTTGTGATTTTTAAAATATGGATCCCCAGAAATAAAGTTTGGGAAACACTGGTGTAGACGGGGTAAGAGGCTCTGCTCAGGCAAATCCTCTTATGCTTAAAGGTTGTATGGAGGATTTTTTTTTTGTTTCAAATTTTCACTGAAAGTTCAAAATACCATTACAGAAACTCAGCAGCTTTGTAATTATGATGACCAAAAAAAAAAAAGAATGAAAATCTATCAACTGTGGACGTAGTGAGGCCAGAGAAACATCAGCCAATAGAAAACGAGGCTGCCTCATTTTCTATTGGCTGTTAGGTTGTCAATCAAACTCCTTATGTTTCTAGTGTAACTGACTCATCGGCGCACGGGGATTACGTGGTTTATGCAACGGTTTTTAGAGGCTTTTTCAAACTGTCGCTTCCTCGCAATTCGCACAAACTTTGTCGAGACGGCGGACGAGAATCCACGACCAGTTCGCCGCAAAAGAAAGTCCGTTTTTGAGGTCGCTGAAAGAAGAAGAAGAGAAGGAGAAAAGGAGCGAGAAGATAAACGGAGGTGATTCTTGGAGATTCCTTCCAGCGATGGCGCGAATGAAGCGGACTTAGGGTCTAAAAACTGAAGACGCGTCGGTCGCTAAATTATTTTTAGACAGGAAACTTCAAGAGTAATTCTGAAAGCGCACTGGCTGTAAACAAGTGTGTGATTTCTAGAGTAAAGAGGCGGGAGGAGAAGTTTCTACTGAGGAAGCTGTGGAGGAGGAAGGTGGTGTCACACATGCACAAGGACTGTCGCTGTATTTCTCTTCCCTTAAAAAATCCTCTATACAACCTTTAAGTTTTACTCTTGTACAAAAGATGTAAAGTCATTGTTTAAATCATATCGTACACGGTTATACACAGCCCACCTCCAGATTCATTATAAAAAGCCAGTTTGCAAAATCTGCAGGTGCTACAGTGAGGCTTTGTGGAGCTTTTGAGGAGGACGAGTACGACTGAGATGTTTGTTATTGCACGAGTGAAAAATCTGCCCGATCGACTAAGAACTTTAATGTAGTTTTATCTATAAATCAGACAATTAAATAATAATGTCACTCACAAATATAAGTTTCAGTGCAGTTCGATTTCAGTCCAACATGTGGCGACACTGATTTGCAGCAGGAGACTATGGACCAGTGGACTCACTTTGTCACTGCATCCAACAGATCAGTGTGTGGAGGCAAAACAACTTTCTCCAGCTAAACTCTGACAAGACTGAAGTCATAGTGTTTGGTCCACAGAAACAAAGGGACAGTGTCAGCATCACCTCCAGTCTCTCTCTCTAAAACCTTCAAATCAGGCAAGAAATCTCGGGGTAATAATGGACTCAGACTTGAACTTTAACAGCCACATCAAATCAATAACATCTGCAGCCTTTTACCATCTAAAAAACATAGCAAAAATCTAATGTTTACTGTCTAAATCAGACTTGGAGAAACTTATCCATGCGTTTGTCTCCAGTAGGTTAGATACTGTAATGTTCTGCTCACT